CAGCCAGATCTCCTCGTATAGGCTGCCCTGCAAGAAAGCTGTGCTGAAGTCGAGAGAGTGCAGCTCGTAGTCACGGTGAGCAGCAACGTGTAGCAGAACCCGAAGAGTGGTCATCTTCGGGGTGGGGGAGAAGGTCTGAAAGTAGTCAACCCCCTGCCGCTGTCTGAAGCCACGAGCCACGTAACGCGCCTTGAAGACAGGCGGAGAACCCGGCGGCCGCTTCACCCTGAAAATCCACATGCCACTGACGATGTTCGCCCCAGGAGGGGGAACAGCGTCAACGTAGGTGCCTGTGGACTTCCAGGAAGCCATCTCTGCATCCATAGCTGCCTGCCACTGAGAGGAGTAGGGACCCTCTATCGCCTCCGCGTAAGAACGCGGAGTCGGGATGTCTGGTGCATCCGGGTCTCCCTCAGGGGCTAGCAGTACAGACGCGAGACGAGGTGAAGCGGCGGCCAGACACTGGAACTCCTCCTGCCTGTCCTCAAGGACGTCCGTGCCAAGGGCACACTCACCCCCGACGGACGGAGGACAGGCGGACTCAGACTCAGTGACAAGACGAGCAGCGTAGTCTAGACGACAGCGCGCAGCAAAGTCGACAAGCTCAGTGACAAGGGCAGACGCAGCAGACGACTCGAAGGAGGGGTCAGTGACAGCAGTAGCCAGGAGACGCGTGACAGTAGGACTGGCAGCACGAAGAGCGTCCGACTCCGGGTCGGCAAGAGCAGGAAGAGAGGAAGCAGGAGGAGAAGGCAAAGGGGCACGCAGAGGAGCAGTGGACGGACGCAGTGACATCCGGTGCGTGCCAGGGACAGGAGGAGGACGCTGACGCGACCCGCGACCACTAGCGCGCTCAGTACGAACAGGCGACACAGGACGAGACGCAGGCTCACGACGCTCAGTAAGACCTCCAGTCGGACCAGCGTAGGGAGAAGGAGCAGGCAAAGGGGAGGCAGGCTGTAGCTGTGGCTGTGACCGGACAGGCTGCGGACCCTCTAAGGGAGGAGGAGGAGGTGTAAGACCAAGAACCTGCTGCAGGAGCGGAACGAAGTACGGTCGGGGCCGCGCGGCGACGCTAGAAACAGCAGGAACAGCACCAGCAGCCCCGGCAGGAGCACCCACTCCAGCAGCACCTCCAGCAGCACCACCAGAAGCTCCAGAACCTCCAGCCGCAGCACCAGGAGCACTGTCAGTAGGGCCGCCAACGGCAGGCTCAGCGCCAACACCCTCAGCAGGACCAGCTCCAGGAGAACTCTCAGACTCAGCAGCTCCAGCACCCACAGTACGAGCGCCGGCGAGGCGCGCAGCAGCAGTACCCTCTGCAGTCGAAGAACCACCAGCACCAGCAGCACGCCTCCAGCGCCCGGCAAACCACTCACGCAGCTCCTGTGGGGAGAGTGGCTCCCGGCGAGACGAAGCACCCCCAGGCACAGCACCTCCAGGCTCAGCACCCCTAGACACAGCACCCCCAGGCACGGCACCCCCAGGCTCAGCACCCCCAGGCTCAGCACCCCCAGGCACAGCACCCCCAGACTCGGCACCTCCAGGCTCAGCACCCCCAGGCACAGCACCCCCAGGCTCAGCACCCCCAGGCTCAGCACCCCCAGACTCGGCACCTCCAGGCTCAGGCGGCGGCGGCTCGGCGGCGGCTCGGCTGCTGCTGGGCGGCGCGGGCGGCTCGGGCGTCACGGGCGGCTCGGCGACGGCTCGGGCGGCACGGGCGGCTCGGCGGCGGCTCGGGCGGCGGCTCGGCGGCGGCTCGGCGGCAGCTCGGCGGCGGCTCGGCGGCGGCTCGGCGGCGGCTCGGCGGTGGCTCAGGCGGCGGCGGCTGCTGCTGGGCGGATCGGCGGGGCCGCGTAGCAGAGTGGCGGCGGGGCCGCGACCGAAGAGAGCGGCGGGGCCGCGTAGCAGAGGGCGGCGGGGCCGCGTAGCAGAGGGCGGCGGGGCCGCGTAGCAGAGGGCGGCGGGGCCGCTACCAAAGAGAGCGGCGGGGCCGCGTAGCAGGGGGCGGCGGGGCCGCGTAGCAGAGGGCGGCAGGGCCGCGTAGCAGAGGGCGGCGGGGCCGCAATCGAAGGGCGGCGGGGCTGCGTAGCAGAGAGCGGCGGGGCCGCGTAGCAGAGGGCGGCGGGGCCGCGTGGCAAAGGGCGGCGGGGCCGCGATCGAAGGGCGGCGGGGCCGCGTAGCAGAGGGCGGCGGGGCCGCGTAGCAGAGGGCGGCGGGGCCGCGTAGCAGAGGGCGGCGGGGCCGCGAGGCAGAGGGCGGCGGGGCCGCGTGGGGAAGGGCGGCGCAACGGTCCGCTAGGGGCGACACGACGGGTCGCTAAAAAAAAACGCGCCTCGGGGCGCGGTTCGGTGGGCCCTAGAAGTAGTCCCTAGGAGGGAACCTGCTCTGATACCATGTGGAAACAAAGAACGAGGAGGAATGACTATGAACGAAGTGAGTACAAATAGGAAACCCTAATTGGGTTGTACCCCCTATGGGATACCCCACTATAGCCTACAGAAACAAGTAAGCTATATGTTCTGACACCTAGGGACGATCAACTTCTGATCGCAACAAAAACGTCAATTTGTGACTTAGTCAGTTAGCGAATTCTTCAAATCGTTAATATCGCGGGTTCAAATCTTGATGTCGGCGGCTTCTTTACTAAAGGTATGCGCGTCTCGGCGAGTTGCAGTATAGGTATAGCCCACATATTGCAGTCTCTGGTCAAGGAAGTAAAATACGTACTGGATAAAAAAAAAGCCAGTACCGGTAATTTGAAGAAAGGGTAACTATCCGGTTAGCCTGCCTTGATCAAGGTAACTGAAAACAAGCGGCCTACAGAAAGGAAAAAATGGGTATTTTACCCTGATATTTTGGGCCCTGCCGATGTGTAATTGTTGCATTATGTCAAGTATGATCGCGTTTCTGAAAGAGGTAGTTAAACATGGGGAACCGACACTCACAAAAGTGGAAGTCGGTGATATGAATAACGCGTATTGCGGTTTGGAGCCAGCCCGTGCCGAGCATTTGAACCCCGCTAACATTCCCCATTCCCATCATTTCCAGCACCAGCAGCTGCGATCCACCAGACCAGAGCTCACTATGCAGGAGTCCCATCAAGCCATGGCTGCTCACGATTTCGTGTTTAGCTGCGTAATTCGGAGAGGTACCACATGATGGTGATTCAGATTGACAGTTTTTAGTCGATGCTAACCTGAACCTTGTATCTGCAGAGGATGTTCCTCTTCTCTCACGCCGGCCACCATCCGCAAATCAGCAATGGGAAAGAATCAACTCGGCCACCACGACCTCGGCCCGCAGAAAGACGAGGGATTCCAAGAAACGTAATTGATATCTTGTGGTTCTTTGCAATTTTCATATTAATTTACGGGGAGCTCCATAACACCTGGTCTCGGTTCCACAGGTGAATTCAAGTCCTCCAGATTTCTTCTGGACTTGGTTGAGGACCAAGGGGGGTTCGAATTGAACGTACCAGAAAGCATTCCGTTAAATAAGCTTATGGAAAATAACAGGTTAACTTCCTGCAAGAGAAAACGTGACTCGCCAGCAACAGAGAATGCGAATAAAGCTCAGCGCGTCGGAGACCGTCGGTCGTTGTGCACATCTGTCTTTTCGCCAATTCAGACTTTTCTCCAGTCGCTCATTGCTCACTGAATTTCGAAGGCCGTGGATGGCACGAGTTGCCAAACTGCGTGTGGATCATTGTTTGTTCAAGGCCCATCGTGGCTGTGCTTCACGGTTAGCAGTTTATCTCTAATTGACTTCCTCACTGACGTGACGTTTGTTGTGAACATACCTTGTACAAATGGACTTACCGTACCATGGCAGATGATTGAGACTAAAGAGACATTGATTGAACATGGTGCGTGGTAGGGGTGTGGTACCCCCCAACAGGCTTGTTTTCCGCTTGGCTGTCAATTCAACGTCTCAATTAGTAGCAGAAATAAATAAATGAAATACCGCTTAGAGAACCCAGGGGACAGCAACACCGCCCAAGTTCTAGGAGGTGGCGATAAACATGATACCCTACTTCCTCTGGGAGGAGCGTGTGTGGTAGTAAGGCGATGCTTCCATTGCAGTAGAATACCAATACCGTATACTCCCGGACAAAACACCCCCCCATAATTGTACACCCTCGGGTAGCTTGTGCGGGGTGGGTGTTATGATAGACCTCGTTTCTACTATACCCCCTTTTTGGCTGATTTTCTATAACACCCCCCTTTTCTTACGGATTATTATAGTCGTTAACGAGTAGCTGCAATACGGAAGAATATCGTGTGAATTTCTCCCTCGATGAAATTTCGCGGTACATTCAAAGGCAATCTGCTGAGATTTGCCCCTCCCACTATTTCTCTGTCGCCACGTGCAGGTGAATCTTCCGTTGCAAGTGGCAAGAGAGGTGCCACATGCCATTTTCGTGGGGGCGATGAAGTTCGAGGCCGAAAATCACATTCCCGCCTCAGGCAGTGATGCTAAAACGACCAGCAAAACACCCACATTGACTAATTAAAAAAACACTAACACTAAAATATGCCATATGTAAAGACCCGGGTATTATGTATTTTTTTCCTATGAGGAGACCCCCCCCATTTTTTCCCTGTATTTTTAGCTATACCCTCGGGTGTTATGTCCGGGAGAATACGGTAGTACCACGGGCTAGCAGCTTCCTCCAAAGAGCTTCCTTTTTCTTTAAAAATGCTCCACTAAGGCAGGCACCCCAAAGCATTAAATTATTGCAACTGCATGTGCCCGCCAGCAAGCAGCAACTTGTGAGCACGAACAAGCATATATACTTCCAAATGTCATAATTGAGGAAGTGAAGTTGCTTGACATTTCCCTCATAATACAGGGTGGGAACATCAGAAACCCTATCCCAGACATCTGGCTACACAACCTTTACACACTGGCCCTGAATGGAAGTGGTTGAAAACAATACGAAAAGGCTTGGAACGTAGGAGCACATCAACTGCAGCTCCATTGCAGAGCGATGCTTACTACCACATGGTGCTTCCTTCCATCAACCTCCCCATGACTGCCCTCTCTTCCAACTCTCCTCCCCCCATCCCCTTCAACCCCCCTGTAAGCGACCTCCTCAGTCTCCTCTCCAATACCCCCACCAGCCTCTTCCTCCCTATCCGATACTGCAACACCACCTCCCTCTCCCTTGCCTCCCTCTCCGCTATGCCCCCTTTCCTGTCCCCTCCGTCCTCCACACTCTCCTCACTCTCACTTTCCTCGCTTTCCTTACTCCCCTCATTCTCTTGAATCTCAATAATTTCCTCCCTCCGACCGTCCTCCCCTTCTCCGGGACCCTCCCTTCCTCCTCCCTCCACAACCCTCCTCACATTCTTCCTCTTCCCCACCCTCTTTGTCAACCCCCTCCTCTCTCTCGCCAACAAGCCTGCCAGTTCCTCCTCATCCTCCTCCAACCGGCTTCCAAACCCATCAATAACAGCACAACAACGCGCGTGTATGCCATCCAGAGCAGCTTTCAGGCATGCAAGCAGGCGGGGGAAGAGGCGGGGGCGCAGGGGGTGCAATGCCGGGTGGGAGATGCCCCAGCAGTACAGAACGCTGGCACAGGCTATAGGGTGGTGCCGGGGCTCTGAATTTGGGAAGCGGGGGAGGATGAGGGGGGGGTTTGAGGGGATGGAAAGAGCGGGAGCAATGGGACAGAAGGGCATGCAGTAAGTGAATGGGGGATGGCCTAGCAAAAGAGTAGGGTTTAACACAGGGTATCGGGTGCTTCTGAGGCTGTAGATGAAGAGTAAGTGGGTGGGTGGGGAAATTACAGGATGATAAGGGGTGCAACATGGAAGGGAATGCGGGCCAAGTGGATTAGATGGAGTGGGATGAGGTAACGGGATCATCAAAGTCAGACTGGTATACCAGGAACCCGTGCGGGCACAAGCAATGGCACAAGCAATAGCAATGGCAGAAGAAGGAAAGCACCTTGGCCACACACTCACCAAGACCACACAGATACGATAGCCTCAAATACGCACTCGCAATCACTCTGACCGTAGATGAAGAAGAGCCCAAATTGAAAGACTTGGAAGGAAGATACTCGCGCATACAACACTCATAGAACCCACTCGTGGACTGAACACTCACACGCACAACACACTGGCACTCACCGCGGCCATAGACAAAGAGGTGCCAGAGAGCAGCAAAGGACGCCATGATGCGAGGGTCCACATGCCCATGCGGCCACACCGCATACCCCTGCTCCGCCTCAAAGCTGTACTCTGGCCCGTACAGACTCGTCCCGTACTGCAGGTACACTGTGGCGGTTGCTGGTGATCTCTCTGATGCTGCTGAATCCTTTCCCGAGGGGCAATTTGACGGAGATCGCTTTTCTGGTGAGCTCTGCGCTGCGGCATTTGTTTTTCCCGGTTTTTTAGAGAAAGCATGTACTTCTGCACGTTTCTCAGCGTCACTCTGCTTTCCCCCGTTCTTCTCATCCTCTTTCTCCGCCGTCTTTCCGTTCTCCTGCAATCTCGCCCCCCGCTCATCCAAGGCACGATTGATCTCCATTCCGGCACCCTCTTGACTTCCCTCTCTTGTCTCCCCCCCTCTTCTATCCGTATTTCCTTCGTCTTCCGTCCAGCCATTCACAGCTTCACATGCTTTTCTCAAACCACTTTTGCCATTCCACTTTCTGTTCCCATCTTCTTCCTCCTCCACACTACCCCCCCTCACTCCGCTCCTCTCCTCTCTTGCCCTCCCTCTCCCCCCATCCCCCTCATCAGCACCCAGTACCACCACAGCTCCCTCCTCTTGCCCATCCTCACACCTTGCACAGCTAGTTTCACATCTAGAGCCTCTGTTTTCCACCTTCTCTCCACCACTACTCCCACCACCCTCCATCACACTCCCCCCATCACAACCGATCTGCACCAACTCCTCCTCTTCTCCATCCACGCCCCCCTCACAAATGGTCACCCTCTCCCTTCTCTCCCCACTGCTACACCCACCGTTTCCCCCATCAATTCGTCTAGTAGTCTCCTTCTTCCTCTCCCCTTCAATTCCCCCCTCAATCTCCCCATCAATCTTCCCCTTCCGCTCCTCCTCACCCTTCCCCTCACACTCATCCCCACTCTCCCCCACCCCCTCCCCACCTCCATCCTCTACAGCCCCAATCAGCACCCTCACCACCCTCCCCACACTCTTCACACTCTCCTCCACCTCCCCCATCACCCCCCTCGCCACCTCCCCATCCTCCTCCCCAAAATCCCCGGGGAAATAATGCTCCGCGAAGAACTCAAGCAGGTCAGAAGAGGAGCGGAAGAGGGGGAGGGAGTCTAAGGAGTTGGGATGGGGGGAGAAGCCGTAGGAGAGGAGGAAGGAGTGGGAGGAGCGTACGCCGTAGTGTGTGAGGAGGTCGGCACCGGGGGCGATGGGGGCAATGGCGTGGAACATGTAGTGGCCTGATGAGGCTCGCTGGGATTGGGGGAACGGGGGCGTGGGGAGGAAGAGAGGGGATTGGGAAAGGAGGATAAGGGGGGAGACACGAAGGGCTTAGGAGGAGAGGATGGTAGAGGAGGAAAGTTGCAAGGAGAGGGGGATGTGAGGAGAGGTGTGGCGACAAGGGCCGCGGAAGGTAGAGAGTGAGGGGGAGTGAGGATGAGGAGAGGGGCAGAATGGGGAAAGAACGAAGGGTCAACAAGGGTAGCACGGGATATGAGGAGCTCTGAACGAGGGATGGCAGTCAAGAATGGGCGGATTGAGAAGAATAGAGAGCATAGGGAGGGATGAGGAGCGTGGGGAGGATAGGGAAGGAGGAGAGGATGGGGAGGATGGGAAGGAGGAGAGGATGGGGAGGATGGGGAAGGAGGAGAGGATGGGGAGGATGGGGAAGGAGGAGAGGATGGGGAGGATAGGGAAGGAGGAGAGGATGGGGATGATGGGAAGGAGAAGAGGATGGGGAGGATGGGGAAGGAGGAGAGGATGGGGAGGATAGGGAAGGAGGAGAGGATGGGGAGGATGGGAAGGAGGAGAGGCTGGGGAGGATGGGGAAGGAGGAGAGGATGGGGAGGATGGGGAAGGAGGAGAGGATGGGGAGGATAGGGAAGGAGGAGAGGATGGGGAGGATGGGAAGGAGGAGAGGATGGGGAGGATGGGGAAGGAGGAGAGGATGGGGAGGATGGGAAGGAGGAGAGGATGGGGAGGATAGGGAAGGAGGAGAGGATGGGGAGGATGGGAAGGAGGAGAGGATGGGGAGGATGGGGAAGGAGGAGAGGATGGGGAGGATGGGAAGGAGGAGAGGATGGGGAGGATAGGGAAGGAGGTGAGAATGGGGAGGATAGGGAAGGAGGTGAGAATGGGGAGGATAGGGAAGGAGGTGAGGATGGGGAGGATGGGAAGGAGGAGAGGATGGGGAGGATGGGGAAGGAGGAGAGGATGGGGAGGATGGGGAAGGAGGTGAGGATGGGGAGGATGGGAAGGAGGAGAGGATGGGGAGGATGGGAAGGAGGAGAGGATGGGGAGGATGGGAAGGAGGTGAGAATGGGGAGGATAGGGAAGGAGGAGAGGATGGGGAGGATGGGAAGGAGGAGAGGATGGGGAGGATGGGGAAGGAGGAGAGGATGGGGAGGATGGGGAAGGAGGTGAGGATGGGGAGGATGGGAAGGAGGAGAGGATGGGGAGGATGGGAAGGAGGTGAGGATGGGGAGGATGGGAAGGAGGTGAGAATGGGGAGGATAGGGAAGGAGGAGAGGATGGGGAGGATGGGGAAGGAGGAGAGGATGGGGAGGATGGGAAGGAGGAGAGGATGGGGAGGATGGGAAGGAGGAGAGGATGGGGAGGATCAGGAAGGAGGTGAGGATGGGGAGGATAGGGAAGGAGGTGAGAATGGGGAGGATAGGGAAGGAGGTGAGGATGGGGAGGATAGGGAAGGAGGTGAGAATGGGGAGGATAGGAAGGAGGGGCGGGGAACGGGCGGATTTGCATTGTGGTGTTGGGGGAAAGCAGCAGCGCTTGGTTGACGGCCCGCGCAGCTATCCCCTGGGCACTGACGAACCTTCAACCATGCGCTCTTACATCTGGGAAGGTATGAGGTAGTAGAAACGGCGGGGGTTTTAGGGTATGGCGAGGATGGTAGAGGAGGGACGTTGCCAGGAGAGGGGATTGGGAGGAGGGAGGGAGGGAGGGAGGGAGGGAGGGAGGGAGGGAGGGAGGGAGGGAGGGAGGGAGGGAGGGAGGGAAGGAGGGAGGGAGGGAGGGAGGGAGGGAGAGAAAGGGAGGGCGTTGGCACTGACAGTCCATGTGACGTTGTAGTGCTCGCTGTGGTTCATCAGATCCGCCAGGGGCAGCAGCGCCCCCCAGCTGTTCTCCTCACATGCCGCAGCTGCTGCTGCTGCCGCTGGCGCTGCTGCTGCTGCTGCTGCTGCTGCTGCTGCTGCTGCTGCTGCTGCTGCTGCTGCTGCTGCTGCTGCTGCTGCTGCTGCTGCTGCTGCTGCTGCTGCTGCTGCTGCTGCTGCTGCTGCTGCTGCTGCTGCTGCTGCTGCTGCTGCTGCTGCTGCTGCTGCTGCTGGCACTGGCGCTGCTGCTGCGGCTGAAGGTGGCAAGGAGGAAGAGGAGGGGTCAGCGGAGGCGGAGGAGGGCAAGGAGGGAGGGGAAGGGGAGGAGAAGGTGCGAGAGGAGATGACGGTCATGGCCCAGAGGAAGGCGGAGAGGGGCGCATGGGCGATGAAGTCAGGGGCGCACCGCCGGTACTCCTGCTCGTACGCGTGCCGGTATGCCACTGCCTGTGGGTGAGGGGTGCGGTGGGGTGGACTTTTGAGTCGACACAAAAGTCACCTCGTCAGGGGCGCACTGCCGGTACTCCTGCTCGTACGCATGCCGATACGCCACCGCCTGTGGTTGGGAGGTGCGGTGGGGTGCAGCATCGGGTTGACTGGTTGGGTTGGAGGTTGGAAGTCCAGCATGAGAAATGTGTGAGGGAAGGAGGAGGGGCCGGCCACCGAAATGATGAAGTCGTGGGGGATGATGCGGGTGGGGGATGATGCGGGTGCGGGATGATGCGGGTGGGGGATGATGCGGGTGGGGGATGATGCGGGTGGGAGATGATGCGGGTGGGGGATGATGCGGGTGGGAGATGATGCGGGTGGGGGATGATGCGGGCAGGGGACAGTGCACCTGGTGTGAAGAAGATGAATGAGAAAAGGAGCGAATGATGCGCCATCTTTTGAGGCGCCTCAATAATGGTACGCCCTCAGCCATCCAGTTTGCATTTGCACTCCAAGTAGCCCTCCAGCTTCCAACCACATGCTCCCACATTTGTCCGTTTCCTCACGCCGCACTTTCCATCCCCTCTTTTCCTTCCCCTTTCATATCCTCCCCTGCTCCCCCCCTGCTCTCCCCTCCCCTCCTCCCTCCCCTCCACCACTCCCTACCTCGAACCATCCCTTCAGTAGGGCATAGCATAGCATGAATTCCATAGCAGCTGACCTTTGAGTCGAATTCTTTGCTAGCATAGCATAGCAAGTTGTGGTTGAGACGTCCCAAGACTCAAAGCACAACCGTTATCACGTGGATAGCTGCTGTGAGATTCTTAGGGCGAGCCCAGAAAATAGTCTCCTGACTCCCGGTTGTTATGTGGGTAGGATTTTCATTGCATGCATGGAATGAAATGGAATGGAACGGAATGGAACGGAATGGTATCGCGTGTGCAACCAGAAGGCTCTCACCATGGCTTCAGTGGGGCGCCACTGCAGCTGCTGGATGGTGGCGAGCGGGAAGAGGGACGGCAGCGGCACGTGGGGGGGCAGGGTGGCGAGGTAGGGAGCCCATGGGGAGGCGTGCCCCTTGGACACCTCTCGTAGCAGCCATGCCGCCATGCCCGTGCTCGCTGCCCACCCATTGGAGGAGGCTGGTGCTGCTGGTGCTGCTGGTACGGCTGGTGGTGCTGGTGGTGGTACTGGTGGTGGTGCTGGTGATGGTGCTGATGGTAGTGGTGGTGCTGTTGGTGCCGCTGCTGATCCCGGTGCTGCTGCTTCTCCTGTTGCTTCTGTTGTTGCCACGCCTGCGCTCCTTGTCAGGCCTCTGTTAGGGGATGGAGATGATAAGTGTGATGGTGATGGTGATGGTGGTGGTGATGGTGACGATACTAATGCTGCTGAACTTGCAGCTACTGATGCTTCAGCTACTACAGTGCTACTATCACTACCACGTGCTGAGTCTGCAACATTGCACACCCGGTCTTCCGGCAGTGAACACACGCTGCTACTACAGACATCGCTGCTACTGCTGCCACTGCTGTCAGAGTTGCAACTGCCGCCACAGCCGCCAGAACAGGCCGGATCTGCACGGACGCACACAGCAGCAGCGCCACCATCTCTCGTGCTCTCCACGCTGCTCCCCTGCCATCTGCTGCATCCAGTGGAACCACTGCTACTACCACTGCCACTGCCACCACTGCCACCTTCAGTGAATAAAGGGTTCCCAGGCTCTAAGTCTCTGTTGAGGCCTCCAAGTCCCTCCTCGCACCGCTCCTCCTCCTCACCCTCTCCCTTCCCCTCTCCCTTCTCCTCTCCCTTCCCCTCTCCCTTCTCCTCTCCCTTCTCCTCTCCCTTACTCTCACTCCCTGGGTTACTCCCTCCAGGATTAGAGGCAGAAGTGGGCGTAGGAGGAAAGGGCGAGGGGGAGCAAGAGGAGCAGGGGCAGGGGTGGGTGTGAGGGAGCGAGTAGGCGGGGGCGATGCGATCGGGAGTGATCTGCAGATTGGGCGGTATGCAGAAGAGCAGCTCTCCCGGCGCTATGTGGCGCGATGCCACGAGACCCAGGTCAGGCCTGGGGATAGTGGGGTGCAGGAGAGAAGGTGACGAGGGAGGGGGGAGAGGTTGATGGGTGGAAGGAAGTGGGAAGGGAGGTGCAGAGTATGCAGAAAAGCAGCTCGCCTGGCGCTATGTGGCATGATGCCACGAGGCCCAGGTCAGGCGTGGAAGGGTTGGTACGGGTGGGTGGAGATGAGGGGAGAGTGGATGCGATGCGAGAGAAGGATGGGTTGGTAAGTGAAGGGAAGGAGGATCATGTGGAGGGGAAGGATCAATGAATCCAATACATCGAAGCTCAGTGGACAGAAAATCAATGAATTAAATGAGCTGCAAGATTCTATGCTGCAAGCAAGTACACACAATCCCCTGCCCTCGTTCTTTCACCCCACACACAACACAACCCCTTCCCTTCCCTCGTGCTCTCACACCCACCCCCACATGCGACCTCTATTGCAACCCATGCGTGTCTTTGCTTACCCTTTTCTCTCTCACCTGCCTCTGGGACCAGCATGTCTGGATCCGGGGGGCAGATGCAGCAGCGGACACACCACCACCTGATAAGGTGTGATGTGCCATGCCATGCCACGCCATGCCATGCCACATGCCATGCCACACCACACCACGCCATGCCGCCCCAAAGACACGGGAAGAAAAAAAAAGAGGTGGGTTGCGAGTGCAGTAGACAGGGTGTGGGAGAGGGGAGAGAAGACGCAGGAAAAGGGAGGAGATTTGCAATGTGCAATGCAGAGAGTAGAGCAGATCCATAGACAGTTGGTCAAGTGTGAGTGCAGCAATCTGCGTGCTTGCAATGCATTGCATGGCACCGCATGGCACTGCAATGCATAGGATGTCATCATTCCATGGCCAGCCATACAAGACAGATGCATGCACGCACGCACCTTGAAGGGCCATGTGTGTGGGTCAGGAGTGGCGCCATTAGCATGCAGCCACAGCAGCAGCTCCCCCACATCCACCTCCATGCCCCCCATGTCCATTTCACCCTCCCTGCTCTCAGTGCCTTCCCTTCCCTCCCTTCTCTCCCTTCCCTCCCTTCCCTCCCTTCCCTCCCTTCCCTCCCTTCCCTCTCTGCCCTCCCTGCCCTCCCTGCCCTCTCTGCCCTCCCTGCCCTCTCTGCCCTCCCTACCCTCCCTCCTCTCCCTCCTCTCCATGCGCTCACTGCCCTCCCTCCCCTCCATGCCCTCCCTGCCTACGCCAAGGCATCGGTTCGTGACGCCATGAGTATCATCATCAGCACGCACATCAGCACGCCCATTCCAATCTCGCTCCTCCCCCAACGCAGCCCTGCCCCCATGCGCTCTGCCTCTGCTGCTGCCACCCTGCCGTAAAACCCCGGCCTCGTGCCCCCCTCTCCGCCCCACAGCCCTGCCTCCTCCTCCCTGTTCTCCCCTCACACCTGCCTCCTTCTCCCGGTTGTCCTCCCTTCTCCCTCCCTCCTCCTCCTCTTCCTCTTCCTCCTCCTCTTTCTCTTCTTCCTCCTCTTCCTCCTCCTCCTCCTCCTCCTCCTCCTCCTCCTCCTCCTCCTCCTCCTCCTCCTCCTCCTCCTCCTCCTCCTCCTCCTCCTCATACTCACACTCCCCCTCGTCATTCCCATGCATCACTGCCCATTCCTCACCATCATCCTCCTCTTCTTCCTTCCCCTCCCCCCCCCTCCTCCACACACTCTCTCATTTCATCCCCCCCCGCTGGCTCCTCCCCCTCCTCCCTATCCTCCCCGTTCCTCCCCTCCTCCACACGTTTCCCCCCTCCTTCCCACCCACTCTCCTCCCGCCCACGCACCTCACCACCCATCACCGCACTGCACTCCTTCGCCTCCTCCCCATCATCACAAAGCGTCCCATCCGCCCTTGCCCGTCTCCACTTCTCTCCTTCTGCCTCGCTGCCACCGCCACTCGTAGCACCACGTGCAACGCAAGTCGCCATGCATACACGCAGCAAGCCACCACGTGCAGACCAGTTGGTTCTAAAGAACCACTCCAACGCCTCAGCGGCCAGCTTACGCTATCATATACGCGCGCAAACCACTCTCGGTTGCCATACCCACTCTCCTCCCGATCTTCCCCCGCCCATCCTCCTCACCTTCCCCCCCGCATCCCCTCTATCTGCGTGCAACGAGAGCTGGGAGAAGGTGGAACGGTCGTGCCAATACTACTAGCCGACGTGGGGGGTTGCGGGGAGCACGAGCGCGCGCGGAAGCTGCTCGGGGACGCGGAGGACGGGCGGAAGGTGCGGAGTACGGGCGGAAGGCGCGGAGTACGGGCGGTAGGCGTGAGGGAGCACAGCGAAACGGCACTAGATGAAGTAGCAGTGCGGAAACTTGGCGTGCCCTGGGGGAATGAGTATCGTGCGGCTCGGGGCGAGGAGCGGGGCTAGGGGAAAGAGAAGTGAGCCGATTCGCGGGCAAGCGGGCGAGGCGGCGGAGAGGCGCCAGGAGCGGTGGCGTATGCAGGGGAAAGGCGATTCGGCACGAGTCTTAGTGCAAATGTGCTACACTCCTCCCGCTAGCTACCCATCCCCCACTGGCACCGCACATTCGCAATCAGGCTGCGGAGGTAGCACGTTGGCATTGCGCGCAAAGTCGTGCGCGTGCGCAGAATCAACCGCGAATCCGGATTTTATTAATTTTCGGAGACCACTGATCACCTCCGCTTTCTGTTGGCATTCTGCCACACAATTTTAACCGAGGGTTGATTTTGTGTGTAGTTCCTGACCGCAATCAACCAGGTACCGAAGGAGACTTTATCGAACTCCCGTCCAATGAATGATCCCTCTTGAACGCATCAAACCGAGCTGAACCACACTGGGTTCTTGTTTTGCCATTGTCGGACCAGAAGAAAACTGGGAAATTATACCGGTAGTCACTAATTACATGCTGTATTAGTGAATGATATACCTACATGCGCATGACCGTATCACCCCGGATATAAGCGCACCTGCGCGTATAATAAAACAGTGTTTTTTAGGGGGGTGTGTCAGAATCCTAAGTCGAGTTGGGCTTAGGAGCCATAGTTGGGAGTGTCTTAGTTCGAGTTGAAAGGTTGAAGGAAAAGTGTCGAGAGATGTTGGAAGGAGAAAAGTGTTTCAATAATAGAAGGCATACAAGATATAGTCAAGGAAATGGGCAAATGGTGCACCACCAAGCAGGAAACTATATAACTCCACTAAACTCTACTGTAGGCATTTATAAATGTATACGAATACATTTCAACACACCCCCTAAATGCCTACAGCTAGAATCGTGTGCAGTACATCTCCTGTAGAGGTACACCAAGTGCAAAGAAAGTAGCAACAACAGACAAGGTAATAGAGCAGGTACAGTAGCAAAGGGGCAAGCACTCCTGCCACCCCTTTACTCTCCTCCCCCCCCCCCCCCCCCCACGAGGGATGGGGGGTGGTTGGTCTCACACCCGCCACCCCAATCCCAATGCCACTCCCCTGGCTCCCCCACACCCTCACACCCTCCCCCCCAGCGGCAGCTGCAGCAGTGGGAACGAAAGGAGGAGGAGGGGAAGGGGAACACACCACCCATCACCCCCACACCCGCCACCCCCAGACCCTCCCCCCCGCAGCTGCAGGGAGACGAAGGAGAAGGGGGGGGGGGAGGGGGGGGCCGACGCACGGCCTCCCAGGGCGCCAAAGCAGGCGGCAGAGGGGGCAACGCTTGCCCCTCCTTCCAGGTCGCGGCCCCCTCAGGTCGCCTCGACAGGTGACGGGAAAAGGGGGGGGGGGGCGGTGCACATGCCCCCGGTGTGCCGCGGCTGGCGACGGGGCATGGCCGGGGCGGGTTCGGGGCCGCAAGTGGCGGCGACGGGGCCGCTGGCGGCGGCGACGGGGCCGTTGGAGGCGGCGGCGACGGGGCCGCTGGAGGCGGCGACAGGGCCGATGGAGGCGGCGACGGGGCCGCTGGCGGCGACAACGGGGCCGATGAAGAGCGGCGACTGGGCCGCGGAAGGGCGGCGACGGGGCCGCTAAAAGGGTGGGGACGGGGCCGTTGAAAGGGCGGGCGGCGACGAGGCCACTGAAAGGGCGGCGACGGGGCCGCTGAAAGGGCGGCGACGGGGCCGATGAAGAGCGGCGACGGGGCTGTGGAAGGGCGGCGACGGGACCGCGAAGGGGCCGCGAGAGGCCTGAAAGGGCGGCAACGGGGCCGCTAAGAGAAAGTTAAGGGGCACGCCACGGGGCGTGCCGAACACAGAGTAGCAGCGGAAGCAGTAAGGCGGGCCCACAGGCCAGGACCGTAATCACTCTGATAGCATCTCAGAATCCTAAGTCGAGTTGGGCTTAGGAGCCATAGTTGGGAGTGACTTAGTTCGAGTTGAAGGGTTGAAGGAAAAGTGTCGAGAGATGTTGGAACGAGAAAAGTGTTTCAATAATAAAAGGAATACAAGATATAGTCAAGGAAATGGGCAAATGGTGCACCACCAAGCAGGAAACTATATAATTACACTAAACTCTACTGTAGGCATTTATAAATGTATACGAATACATTTCAACAGGGTGCGCTTATAATTGAGTCAAAAATATGCGCGCATGCGCTTATAAAATGACAAATACAAATACCGGTATATAATTAAAGGCACCAAATTGTACATCTCATCCCTGCGATTTCAATCAAATCGAAATAGTCAAGTGATACAGACCAAAATCGCGCGCGTACGATTCATTGCCAGCGCACAGATGCAAAGTACAATGTAACACCTTGAGAAAATTAGAACCAGAGTGAATGAACTATGAATGAAGCGAATACAAATATGAAACCCTAGTTGGGTTGTACCCCCTATGGGATACCCCACTATAGCCTACACAATAGCATAAGCTATAATGTTCTGACACAACCCCATAGGCAAAGTGGGGGAGAACAAGGGGTCACAAGACCAGTCAAGCAAAACAAAGCAAAGCTCAGGGTGGATCACAAAGTCACCACACATTCCGAGCACAAGTTCAAAGGCCAAAAGGCCAGTTCACATGCAAGAGCACATATATATATATATACACGAGGCTAAGCAAGCAAGAGCAGGAGTATATATATGTGATAGTACAAGCAAGGTCAAGAAGTGAGCAAGTGAGGCAAGACAGGCACAAGACCCAGCTGAGTGCAGAAGCGCTGATGATCACAAGGCGCAAGTGCCTCGGTGAAAACATCAGCAGTGTTGGCCTCAGAGGCCACGTACGCAAGCCGCAACTGTCCACGCTGCTGTAGCTTACGAGCAAGAAAGTAACGGAGAGCAATGTGCTTTGTCCTGTGCTCCAGTCGCTGCTCTCGACACAAGGCCAGCATGGCCTTGTTGTCTACGTACAGGACTGGAGGAGAACGAGGCGGCTCTCCAAGGTCGGTCAGCAGGTAGGTGAGCCAGCGAAGCTCCTGGGCAGCCATAGCCCCGCCGTAGATCTCAGCCTCACAACTGGAGCCGAGAACAGAAGACGAGCGGGTAGCTCGCCACGATACAGAGCCGGAACCAAGACTGAAGGTGTAACCCTGTGACGACCGCGGCGTAGCCTGGTCGTCAGCCCAAGAAGCGTCCGCGTGCCCAGTGAGGACCACTGGACTGCGCCCTCCAAGCACTAGCCCCATGCCCGACGTACTGCACAAGTAGCGCAACACCCTCTTCGCTGCAACCATGTGCTCTGGTCCGTGTCTCCGAGGAGCAACATAGCGTGCAAGAATGCTAAGAGGGTATGCAAGGTCAGGTCGTGTGCAGGTCATCAGGTACATGAGGCACCCAACAAGCTCTGGATACGGGCCACTTGACTCTACGGACTCATCCGAAGGCAGAGCTGAGAGTGAGTGGCGAGTAGGCAGAGGAGTGGCTTGAGGCGAGGAGTACGTAAAGCCGAAGCGCTGAAGGACCTGCTGCACCATGTGTGACTGAGTCAGGGTAATGGTGCGGCTTGCTCTGTTCCGGGTGATCTGCAAGCCAAGGTAGCTGCGCAGTTCACCTCGGTCTGTGCACGTGTGTTGCTTCTGCAGCTCGGACTTTAGGTAGGCGAGTCCAGCAGTGTCAGCTGTGGCAAAGACCAAGTCGTCGACGTACACGAGGATGTAGAACGGCGGCAGAGAGGTGTCGGCGCGAAGAAACAGCGACGGGTCAGCAGTAGAAGGAGCAAACCCAAGAGCCGCAAGCGTAGTCCTCAGTGTGTCGTGCCACTCACGTGGCGCCTGGCGGAGACCGTAGACTGGACGCCGGAGACTCCACTGGGTACCAGGAGGGAAAGACCCAGTGAAGCCAGGTGGGCGGCGCAGCCAGATCTCCTCGTGTAGGCTGCCCTGCAAGAAAGCTATGCTGAAGTCAAGAGAGTGGAGCTCGTAGTCACGGTGAGCAGCAATGTGCAGCAGTACCCGAAGAGTGGTCATCTTCGAGGTGGGAGAGAAGGTCTGGAAGTAGTCAACTCCCTGCCGCTGACTGAAGCCACAAGCCACGTAACGCGCCTTGAAGACAGGCGGAGAACCCGGCGGCCGCTTCACCCTGAAGATCCACATGCCACTGACGATGTTCGCCCCAGGAGGGGGGACGGTGTCAACGTAGGTGCCTGTGGACTTCCAGGAAGCCATCTCTGCATCCATAGCTGCCTGCCACTGAGAGGAGTAGGGACCCTCTATCGCCTCCGCGTAAGAGCGCGGAGTCGGGATGTCAAGTGCATCCGGGTCTCCCTCAGGGGTAAGCAGTACGGACACGAGATGAGGTGAAGCAGCTGCCAGACACTGGAACTCCTCCTGCCTGTCCTCAAGGACGTCCGTGCCAAGGGCACACTCACCCCCGACGGACGGAGGATAGACAGACTCAGACTAAGCGACAAGACTAGCAGCGTAGTCTAAGCGACAGCGAGCAGCAAAGTCGACAAGCTCAGTAACAAGAGCAGACGCAGCAGTAGACTCGAAAGAAGGGTCAGTGACAACAGTAGCAAGGAGACGCGTGACAGCAGGA